TTAGTATATTCTCAGCTCCGACTATTGCATTTCTAGCTCTCTAATTGGCTCAAAAACTCCGACTATGAGCCATTAGTCGGAGTTTTACCTAATATGGAAAATAATGCGCCAAGTTTAAAAATTTTCCGCACGAAGTTTTTAACTTCAGCTCTCCATAATGGCCGATACTGGCAGGTTTCAGGAGCTGTCTCCCTCTAAACTTCAAGAGATATTAGACAATGCTATCCCAGAAAAAACGAAGAAAGCCACAAAGTTCGGCATGAACATATTTAATGGTACGTATGTGGGAGTTTTACTCAAAAACTAGCAACAATTGTTACGTTCACTGTCGATATTTTGATAATTTATTCGTAACAACGACAAAAATTCTTACCTCGTTATTTACAGAATGGCTGTCAAGTCCTGTTGCCACAAAATTTTCGAAACGAATTGAAGACATGTCCAAAGAGGAGCTAAATGAATGCCTTAAATGTTTCTACACCTCCGCAAGGAAGAAAGACGGGAGGTATTACAAAAACACATCCATGAAGTCCATTCGAGCCGCCATAGATCGCTTTCTTCGCTCGCCACCAAACAACAAGCCTTTTTCTATCATCTCCGACGCTGTGTTTACCGAAGCCAATAAAGTTTTGGATGCCTTTGTAAAGGATCTCAGAAAGACGGGTAAAATAGCTGGAGTTGTCCATAAGAAAGCAGTGTCAAAAGATCAAATCCAGAGGCTCTTTGAAAGCGGCGAACTTGGGCCGGCCGACAGTCAAAATCCAGCCCAACTGCAGAGAACGGCATGGTTTTATCTCACCCTTTTCTTCGGACGACGAGGAAGAGAAAATCAGCGGCAGTTGAACCCTGGAATGCTCTCCCTAAGAACAACGCCTAGAGGTGTCGAGTATTTTGAGTTAAACAGACGACAGCCTGGTTCACTGCGCAGCACAAAAAATCATCAAGGCGGCCTTGGAGACTCTGAGGATGAATCCGACGCGAAGATCTTTGCCGTTGCTGGTTCTCAGAGGTGCCCAGTGAAAACAATCAAAAACTACCTACATCACCTGAACCCGAGTTCCGAAGCTCTTTTCCAAAAACCAAGAGACGGCCAAAGTCAGAAATTCAGTCCAACAGATGACAAAATCTGGTATTGCAACTCGCCGGTTGGCTCGAGCATGCTGGACAACATGTTGAAAAATATGAGCAGGCGAGCTGGCATAGAGCCCCATCTAACCAACCACTGCCTCAGGGCGACAGCAGTTACAGTTCTGTCTGACCATAACTGTGAAACCAGACACATAAAGTCTGTTACGGGACACAGATCAGACCAGGCGGTGGAATCGTACAATGATCGCCCATCCATAGAACAGCAAAAGAAGATGTCGCACGTTCTCAGTGATTTTGTCTCAGCCGGAGCCTCTGAAGCTTCCCCATGCACTGGTATCTCTGCAGCTGAGAAAGAAAACCAATGCCACGGCCAGCAAGAACGGCAACCTCAAAGTGAAGGGACAGTTTTAGTCCAAAATCAGTTCGTAAACACCGAGGTTCGGCAAAGCGAGCGAAGAAGCTTTCCGCAGGTTTTCTTCAACTGCAATGTCCAAGTTCACAACTACTACGGAGGCGGAGAATCAGGAAAATCTTCCTGAACTTTGAACACTATTTAAACACTTGAAAGCTTCCGAAGCGGTCTTTTTCCCTTGCATTTGAACGGTTGAATATTTCAAGGTTGATTTTGTTTAACAGTTGACCACAGTTTGTCGTTTGTGAAGCTGTCAAATTTCATTCAGCTCATTCAGTGATGTAATAATCAGGTGATCACGGCGCGCATGTGACCGGAAGTTGTATGTTTTTTTCACCGCTTTGTAAAATTGTTGAAATAAAAATCGGCGGCAAAAACCCGATTTGAGAATATACTAAAACAATTATTCCATTCGACCTTGTTGGATATGAAGTGATCATAACCAACTCGCGCTACGCGCTCGTTGGTTATTAATCACTTCATAT